AGTTAAAATCATTAATAATGCAAAATAAAGCTGTTAAAATAAGAGATCCAATTGCCCCTCCACCTATATTTCAATCACCTCAACAATATAAAGAAGATAGGTGGTTATATGATATGGGCTTGGTTGATGACGAAACTTGGAAAAGATTCTATCCAAATGAACCATTCCAAAGATTTTGTCCAAAGACAGAAAAAGCTAAAAAATATGCCGAGATGAAAGAGTATGCAGAAAGGGGTCTAGAAATAGAGGACAAACGCCCTGATGATCCAATGGAAATAGACTATCCTCTTATTAACCTGGCTAGAGAACTTCCAGGTGGTACATCAAAAAAAAATTATAAATTGCGTTTCTAACAAAAAGAAGTCTAAGCCTAAGAAAGTTTCCAAGAAAAAGAAGGCTAATACAAAGAAAGCCAGGCATATCATTTTCAATGAGAGGGATTCTGAAGAGGAGACTGATTCTGAGGATGATACAGATTCTGAGGATGAAGATGAATATGAGGAAGAAACCTATACTACAAATAGGTAAAGAGCAAAGTGAAAACAATCTGCATAGCAAATTGGAGCAGTTGATACCAAAACAATAAAACTAATAAAATTTTCAAATTAAGCATTTCTGCAATTTATATAAAAATAAACTAATAATGTTTACTCAAATTTTCAGTTATATTGGTAATGCACTAAAATCCCTCAATGATAGTAGGGGCCCATTCAAAGCTGGTGATCTAGTAGAGGTCAGAGAAGAAATAGAGTATGTAGAGGTGAAAACACCAGAGTTTGTACTACCATCAGAACTGATGTTAAAATTATAAAGCAAATTGAAGATCCAGTAAAAATTGCAAACATAATGTTAGTATAAAGAGGGAAGACATCAATTATATAAATATAGGAGATAAAATAATGGAATGGTTAAGATTAAAATGGATCAATAAATTGGATAGATTTATAAGTTATCTAAATCTTGATAGGTTAGATGAATACTCAAGGAAATTTCTGATGAATTACACATAATTGCAGTGAATAATTATAATGAAGCAATGAGAAAACTTCTAGTGAAGATACAATTTGATTTCTGATTAGATAATGTTCACCATCCCAGGGTCCTTCCACAACTTGTTCTGGCATATTGTGGTAGTACAGGTAGATGTGCAATGGGTGATTGCTTGGCATGGTATTGCCATTTTATGCAAGTGAGCCTGTTTGTCTTTGGTCATCATCAAGGTGTAGAAGATCTGAGGAAGCCTCTACACATTTATTTCTTTTTAAAAAGGGGGGCAAATTCGAAGGCAAGGTTGTGGTTTTTGATAGATGTTTGCATTTTTGGTGGCCAGTATCTGGTTCTAATTTTGAAA